TGATTGTTCTAAGAAAGTAATTAAGCAAGTATATGGTTAATTAACCTTTGGTAATGACAAACTTGTGAAGCGGCCTTATTAATTATCTTAAATGTACTTTTATCGCCGCCGTGAGATTATTACAAAAAACTCATATTGGCAAGTCTAATTGCATTCAGCACTGGCCAAAATTAAAAAGAAAAGTCGCACAGCAAGAATCCCGCCTATTTTTAAAAATGGAACCCGACGATGATTCGCCTAATTAATAAACCAATCACGTACAGTCGAGACGCGGCGTCGAGGTGCGGCGGACGTGCGGGCGCGGGGGATGAACGCTCCGATATTCGAATACTATATTTTTTCTGCATTTAAAGCATCGCAATGTAACTTGTAATTGGCCTGACGGCAAGACAACGATTTTAGTATCGAATTAATAATTGATAAATTATGACTAGATTGTGTAAAAATTGGCAACGGAAATTTTAAAGTAAAACATTAGGCGCAATTGAATATTGAGGCACGAGCTTGATGGTCACCAGATCTTCTACTGCCTATTAATAAAGTGACGACACAAAAAACGAAGTCAGTCTCAGTAGTTAATCTTGTCATATCGTTATAAAAAGTACAATACTACGTCTCCGATCAGCTTCTCGGAACGTTGTTGTGAATGTATGGATTATTATGACACAGCATTAAGATTTCGGTTTTGATTGAATTGCCATGAATAGGTTTACATTATAACAAAAACATATAATACTAACACCGATATTAAATGAAAAAGATTTTTGGATACGTGGAAAAAAATAAATCATTTATCACATAAATGCATTCCCTGTTGTGTCTTTGCGCAGCGTGACTGCAAAAACTAGTTGAATAATAAATGCGTCGGTTGGCAGCATTGGGACACGAGGGAAACCGAAGCAAGTCGAAGGAGGGCGAAGATTAGCGAGCGAGCGCTTTTTGTTTGCATCAATCGATGCGCTCGCGCATTCGCACGATGAATAATTCAAAAATTGACATGAAATGGCGTATGGTTCTTTTTTTAAATGAAAGGTGCCCGATTGAGGACTGTAACCGCCTGACGAATTCATTGGTCAACGGTTTTTTGCGATTGGTAATTGCTGTATTTACTTTATAGATTATGAAATTAATATATGCCCTATCCAATTTCCATAATTACTTTCAAAAGTTCAATAATAGTCTTATAATATTTAGTCATTTGTTCGCTAAATCTCTTAATGTATAGCTAACTTTTACGTTCAATAAAATCTTAAGCGACCACACTTATTTCATTTCAGTCCACCACCAGTCTTCCATTACCAACATTAAAATAATAAGCAAGTTTATACTCGGATTATAATTTGAATCATTGAAATTGTTTTGATGATTTTGATATAAAATTTACAGACTTATTAATAAAAAAAATATATATGTAAATAATTCAAGTAACGTTGTTAATGATGTTCCGATAAGTTGTGCCGATTTCCAAGTATAAATAATCTTGTCATCTGAATTCTGTTTGCGATTGGGCAAAGATACTTTCGTGTACTTTTTGGATAAATGGCTTCATCGTTCACCATAGTACGCCATGACATATGGTTATGACGGCTTTTTACGTAGTTCACTGTCAGACGGAGATAATTTCATTAATTTTAAATGTCTCGTTACGTATTCCATTTTTAATAGTTGGTACAAGATGAAGACATAAGCACTTAAACGCAAAAATTGTATAAGGGACAATTAATTAGCTGATGTATAAATTAATTTGATTTGTATAATTTTAAGTTCTGTATGTTTAAAAGACAATGATCTGTTCACAATCTTTTCATTCATATGTTTCTTTTACACCTTATGTTTATAGATATTTAATGTCTCGCTCGCACACTGCGTTTATTCATTCTTCTCTCTCTTTCATTACGCGTTTTTTAAAATGTATGTTTTTTTATGCTCATTATTAATTAGTGTTGTAATTACGTGGTTTGTATCTAAATTCAAAAGATTCCATAATACTCCTTGGAAAGATGCAAGGGATTATGACATGTATTAATTTAGACCTTTTTGGGCACTAATAAGAGATAATGAGTGAGAATGAAAATAGGTCAATTAGCTCATCGTGACAAATTTCAAAAGAATTAATCACGATGGTTTCCAGATTTCCAGCAACTCACCTGCTTTCATACTCTTGATCAGTTCTCAATAGTGCCCGATCAATACATAGATACTTATCACATCCTCATTATCATAAAAATTTTTTTTAATTGCATGAAACCCTATTTCGGATTAGTATACGTATTACAAGGCTTATCTCCAGCAGTGGACGGATAATGGCTAAAATGATGATACATATTACAAGTGATTTAATAAAAGAGTCATAAATTTTATAAATATATTTAATAAATTTAAATTACCATATAATCCTCCTAGGTACACTATCAGTTAACAGTGACCTCAACGAAAGTTTTTACCTTTATTAATGTTTTAAGGTCCCGCTATCTAATTAAGTTTTTTTTTATTTGTCTAAAATCAGTATTATTTAAATATCATAATAAAATTAATTTAGATCTTATAAAGAAGCCAATATATAATTATGTAAATACTTATTATTGTGATGAACGTAATTTTTCACTTCGACATACCTATATTTCATCGAGCATGTTTAAGTCCAAAATGGCGGGAAGTGATCCTGCCACCGCCATTGGGCTCAATTTGGTTTGTTATTTTCCGTCACCGGATTCCATTTAATCGAAAATTGACATACAGATTTGGTGACGACTAGATTCATATGTAATATTATAATATTTTATTAATAACATTATAACGTGTATAAGTTGAAAATAGTGTATGTATTATGTAAGTAGTATAATACGTCATACAATTAACAATAACACATAAAGACGTGATGGCAATGACGGCGTTTGCGGTCGTATGATTAAACACTAACGTTTATGTTCAAATCTGTGTATTAAAATAATAATTACAATATTTCAAATTATATAAGTATTATATATACAGTAGAATTTCGATTATTCGAATCAAATAAAACCAGGAGTATTCTATATAATCGAAAGTCCGGATAATCGATTTCAATGTCAAATCCAACAATAATTAAATTTCAATTTTTTTTATTATGTAAAGGGTTTCACATACGTCATTTTGACAATATGATATAAAAATTACGAGCTATAAAGATAATAGATTACATAATACCTATTCACCCAATTAATATATAATACTATTACTAAATCGGTAATTAGAGACGTGAAGAATATGTTCGGATATTCGGATAATCGATGTTCGGAGAATTGAGGTTCTACTGTATTATTTATTTATTATTTTAGGAAAGTTTACACCTGTAATAACTTAATAATTAACTATACATGACAACGATAAGCTAATTAGAACCTACCACATATAATTAACGAAAATTTAATTACTTACAGTCCAGATAATTAATAATTATGAAAAAAAAAACATGCAAAATTTCGTCAAAATCAATTAATTAAGTATATATAAGCCTTTTTAAGACTTCCTAAAAATATCCTATTTTCTTACACTTTCACCCAAAAAATACTGAAAGGATTTGAATTAAAGATGGGTAGGATATGGGTAGGACATATTCTATTTTCCTAACGGTATTTGAGGTCGTCACCATATATAGTGGGGGGGGTCGTCCTACATTGCATTTGCCCTTACCACTGGATTGCCACTCAAGAACCTTTCTTCTCCATCGATTGTCTGTTCAAAACTATGTGATCAGCTCACTGCTACTTCAGCTTGCTTCTAAGTTACTATAGAAGTAAGTATATATTTTTTTGCCATTTACGATTTTCTGGTTCAGCTTGATTTCAGCCTGTATAATAAAATTGTAACTAGACGATGTTTGTATGATAAAATTATGGAAGCTAAGAACTTCACTTATACATAAAAGTAAATCGATAAATTCATAACCAACTTTTACGACATCTTTAATAAATTTAATGAATAATTCATTCTAAAAGACTTCTTACAATGAAAAGGTCCAGGTTTTTTAGTTAAGTTCTGATAAAATGTACACTGGATAAGTCAAATTCAATTCAAATACACACTCATATACTCATTTTAGCATAATAGCTTGTTTGCCATCTCAATTTCTATAAAAAAATAGTGTTGGGATTAATTTTTAATAAAACAAGTCATCCCTATGCAATAAACACAAAAATTATGAACTCAAAAGTTTATAGTTATTCTACAGAATCTTAAAGAAGTTATGAAGACCCGGCTTTGTTAAGACATAAATAAAAAAAATATATTAGAGAAAATCACTTATAAAATCACAATACTTTTTAAATAATGGACAAACCAATACTATTTCCACAAATTTAAATAATAATTTATCATATATTATGGCAAATTATATATACTGTATGCAACTATAGTCCCGAATTATTAATATTTACCAAAACACGCTAGTTTACTGAATTAAGATGATTTCACCAAAGGAAGATTTTATATAGAAATTGTCTGTACCGGTACCTATGATCTACTTATGTTTTTACCACTATGTAGATGTGTTTGCAGGACTGTGTTACAGTTTGAGAGCTGGACAGTAAAATCACAACATTCAGTTATTCACATCAGCCATCCACTGTCCATTGCTGAACACAGGCCTCCTCCAAAAGGAGGGTTTTGCCAGTAGCTGTCACGATTGATAAGCGGGTTGGTAACCACAGTTAGGCTTTGGTTATGTTTTGAGAGAAACGCTACTGCTCAACTCTCGACTTTTAAGTTCCCTTAGTCGTTTCTTACGACACCCACGGGAAAGGAAGGGGTGGCCCATTTTATGGCGGCACTACATGGCAAAGTTTATCATTTTCAGTTATATATTTCTTAACAAATATAGTGTTAAGTTCAGACATGATAAATATTATACTTAACATTGCAAGTCATCATTATCTTTCCATGACTTTAAGTCTCCTGTTTATTAAGACAAAACAAAAGACAGATTTTAATTAAATAATTTATAGAAAAAAGTTTAGACTTACTTGTATGAGGAAAACGACATATTGCTATCAACACAGGTCTGGTCTTCTATTGCTCCGTTAGTCGTCAGCATTAGGGTGTTCATTCGTGCGTGTGACGTATACAAGACAATCGATTGATTTATCAGTTGTATGATTAATCGATTGTAACTCGCACAGCACTAGTTTACAAAGGTCCGTCCGTGTTGCGTCACAGTGACGCAGTACCGCATTATGCACGTCACATCACGGGTAGTCTTGTTTGGAGCGAAACTGAAAAAAGGAATTTAATTTAATCTTATTACAATAATTATTTTAAAAACTGCCTATCTAAATAGTAATGATAAAAATAATAGTAATAGGTCAGTCAATTAGCCCATCGTGACGAATTTACCAGGTATTAATCACGTTAGTTTCCAGAGTGAAACCTCTCAGATGTCAATATGATATTTTTAGAACATAGGGGGCAAAGGAACATTAAGTTCACCTGATTGTAAGTGGTTATCGCCTCTCATAGGCACCCGCAACATCAGAAATATTGCAGGTGTGTTGCCGGTTTTTAGGAAAGAATATGCTTTATTCTTGAAGGTTTCAATGTCGCATTTGTTTGGAAATACAGATATAGTTTTTTTAATCTTATTTTAATATTACTATATATACTATATTGAAAATAATGGGGCGTTAAATCGCATTACGAAAACAGTCCCCATCTCCAGATAGACTTTTTACTTTAAAAGTATCCTTTGAAATATAACTGGTTTAATCCAGTTGTAGATTGATGGATTTTTACCTTACAAGGAATTATTATGAAGATAAAATAGGATATCATTAGTGCTTTACGTATGCATTATATAAGTCCAAATTATATAAATAATACCATCTACCAGTGTTAAGATAAAGAATCCTTACAAAATTGATGCAGAAGTATTAGTGATACTTTCGTAACATTTGGTATTCATTAATAGCAAATGTAAAAAAAAATAATGCTTTATGAATAGTTTTTAGTTGTCTATTTCTGTCTATTTAGATTAATTCATTTTGTCAATGAATAAAAATACAAGTGACGGTTTATGATACAACAAAAGATTTATTAAGATAAACAATAAGTAATGTTTATAATACTCATACAAAAAACATCTTCATTCTAATCTAACAACGGGTACTGAACTCAACTGCATCAGATTTGACGCAGATAGCGAAGCATGTTTGTTCGATCGAACCGGCTCGGCGGCCATATTGAATCTGATTGACAGCTGTCAATGTTGGCGGCAGGGTGACGCGTCGCCGCGCCTGATCTACGGTACATGAAGTGCCACTAATTCTTTAAAAAAAGAACTATTTTTATTTTCCTTATAGTTGAATATTATGTAGCAAAAAACTGGCAAGTTTTTGAGTTTCATTCAATTTTTATTAAGCAATAATGTATTAATAAGGTTTATCATTAAACAAAATTGGACAAGAAACTCATTAATCGCGTATTATATCAATTATTCAAGGTTATCATCATATCAGCCTTTAACTGTTCACTGCTAAACACAAGCCTCCTCTTTGAGGGGTTTTGCTAATAGTTGTCACGCTTGACCGGCGGATTGACAATCGCAATTAGGCTTTGGAGACGTTTTAGGAGGAACACTGCTGCCTATCGCTCACCCGTAAGGGATTACGACACCCACGGGAAAGAACGAGGTGCCCTATTCTATGCCGGGACCACATGGCATATTTATACATAATAATAAATACTACTCGCCAATTTAGAAATTTTACTTCAAATTATCTTTTATTCCAAAATAGTCAACTAAAACCACAAGTCTTGATTTCAGCGACATCTAGTATTTCTTGTCTAAGTCTGTTTTATGACCAACAACCCAAATCAATGAAACTGTAATAAGGAGTATAGTACAAGAAGCTAGAACCTTAACAAATAAAAAAGTATAAGACAGGTTGCTACGTATAAGTTGTCATAACAAAAAAGGCATTTCAGTATTATTTCATAAATGTATATTCTGTGATGTTATAAGGACAAGAGGAAAACCGCCTAATAATTCATTAAGCCTGGTAATAAAATTTATTTTATGACAGTTGTGACGGCATCGATTCACGTGCTCGCGAGTCTGTATGGCTACTTAAACTTGAATATGGTTTTATGGTTCCGTATAATTAAATAAAAAAAAAAACTATTATTTTCACTAAATAATGTCTTTGTATTGTATTAGCCGTTAATGTTCTCTGCTGAACATACCCTCTCCCATAGGAGGGGTTTTGCTAGTAGTTTCCACGCTTAGCAAGAGGGTTGGCAACCGCAGTTTGGCTTTCGGTGATGTTTAAGAGGGTCGTTGCTGCCCATTCCTCGACTATAAGTTCTCTTATTCTATATTAGCATCTTACGACACCCACGGTAAGGAAGGGATGGCCTATTTTATACCGGGACCTACACAGTTTTATTATAAATAATGTCTACTCTAACAATATTTTAATATACATTATTAAAAGTATCTTTTGACATTTGACCAGAGGGAGACTGTACAAAAGTCGATTGCTTGGATACCTCTGTCCCATTCGTGTTTCAACCGTAAAGTAGTCGTGTTTGCATGGCTGTGTTTCGGTTTGAAGGGTGCGATATGGCAGCGAATTTACAGGATACAGAGGAATAACACCTGACCTGTCAGTAATGGCAACGCATGGAGTGTATCGTGGACGAAACAGTATACTCTGTTATGTCCATGGTACTGCTCATGTCGATAGGCGACAGTTACCACTTTCCATCAGGCGGGCCGTCAGCTTGTTTACCATTCTAAGTTGTATAAAAAAAATTAAGTGGCACTTATTTGTATATTAGCATAAGAAAGAATTTTTCACTAATCAAATTTCTCTAAACTTGAGGTCAGGATTTGTAATGTCAAGAAGCGCATAAATTTGCCCCTTCAGCCATTTTGCACCAATTTGATGATTAATTTTGCGAATGATACTCCTGCGTTGGTGCTATGATAATGTTTGTCACGTTTGAACATAAAATTTGTTCGCGACATTATTTGTATATATCGTAATTTATAGTTGTTAAGTCCCTAGTTAATCGTTTCTGTATTCTGTTATTTTATATAGATTTACATAGATTTAAGATAGTGTAAGTTAAATAAAGTATTCCTTTGCGTGTTGTCGTTATTACCTACGAATAGAAATTGTAATAATAAATAGAATTAAGAAATTGTAAATTGAAATAAAATAAATAAATAGACGCTATAGAGTACCGATCTGAAGAGACACGCGTCTCGTTCATTTTCGCCCCGTCCCGCTCGCACAGATCGCTATCGCGAGTTGGAAACGTTATCGTGCGAGCGGGCGGGTATAAAGATAGGCCGCCTCCCGTCGAGCGGCATTCGCTTCCGGGCAGCGACGCACTACACTCGAGAAGAAATAGGACAAGAAGAAAAAATAAGACGGTACCGGAGGCTTCAGAATAGTAATCCCTGTGTTTCACTCCAGCCTGAACCAACGCCCCTACAGTCCACGCTCACCGAACGGCAGTCCACACCGTTCATCGTGGTCCTTCGAGAAGCCGGATTGCTGGAGGAACACCGTTGGTACATCGAGAAGCCGGATCGCTGGAGGAAGACCATTCTGAAGCCGGATCGCTGAAATGCCGACTACGAGAAACATGAAGTCGTCGCAACAAAAAATCGCCGTCACCGAAGCCACAACGTCCGCCGCCACCACGTCGACTACGGCCGCCGGAACGCTGTCCGTCGCTGCCACGCCGTCCGTTGCTGCCACCACGTCGTCTGCGGCTGTCAGAATGCCTTCTGTCGCTGCCACGTCGTCTACCGCCGCCACCACATCGACTACGAACACGTCCGGCGATACGCCGACCACAGGAGCCACGGAGACTACCGAAGCCACAGGAACGACAGAGGAGACAGCAAGGAAGAAGGAACCGAAGCACGGCACGGCACGCACGGTTCGCACCACGGCCTCGCAGAAGAAGAAGGCTCTGGCCAAGGCACGGGAGGAGCTACTTCGAAAGGAGGTGGAATTGGCTGCTGCACGTGTCGCCGCCCTGGAAGCCGAATCAGAGGACGACGAGGAAGTAGAAGACGACGACGCTACCGTCAGAAGAGAACGAACGTCGGATTGGGTTCATCGAAGCACGCTAGCACTCACGATGGAGCCGCATGTACCAGAGATAGAAGAAGTCACCGGCAAGCGTCAGGGGTTCGTCCCATCGAGACCCGTTGAAGAGGATTCGAGAGCGCCGCCGCCACAGCCGAGCAGCGACGCACTTCACCGGGACCACGCACGCCACGTTGACCCACATGCCGCCATTCCTACGATAGCAGCAGCGATGCAGTCGATGAAGAAAGAAGAACCAGTGCTGAAGGTGGGCATCGATTGTAATGAGTTTGCGATCGCCATGCAGATGGCCGCTCGCAACATACTGCCCTCCACAGCGTCAAGAGTCACCGAGTTGCCAGTCTTCAATGGATCGTCGAGCGAGTGGTTACCATGGAAGATGGCCTATGAAGAGAGCGCAAGTCAACTCACAGAACAAGAGAACCTAGCAAGACTGCGCAGAAGTTTGAAGGGGGCGGCAAAGGACGCGGCACGCTCCCTATTCGTCGGGTCTACGACCGCAGAAGAAGTTGAAGATGTTAGCCGCGAGGTTCGGCCGCCCTGGAGCACTCGTCACAGCCGAACTGAACAAACTCCGCGCGCTACCACGACTCTCGGACAACGCAAGAGACGTCTGCCTCTTCGCAAGCAAGGTGCAGAACGTCGTCGCCACGATACGAGCGCTGAACAAGAGTCACTACCTATACAACGAAGAAATAGTGAGAAACGTCACAGAGAAGATGCCGTCGGTACTACGCTTCAAGTACTACGATTTCGCCAACGACCAACCGGAGGGACAACCGGACCTCATAACACTCTCTCAGTTCCTGCAAAGGACCGCCGCACGATGTGGAAACTTCGCCCCCGCCGAGGAGATACCGTCCGAAGACCGGCGGGAGTCCGCTTACACGACGCAGGAGAAACCCGCTACACCACCGTGCCCGATGTGTCGACGAGAGGGACACGCTCCATCGGACTGCAAGACGATGAAGGAAGCGGACACATCGGCGAGATGGGAGTTAGCGAAGACTCATAGGCTGTGTTTCCGTTGCCTCAAAGTGAGAAGATTTCGCCACGCCTGCAAGAGCAAGAGATGTGGAGTAGATGAGTGCACGCAGACTCATCACCCTCTGCTGCACACCACGCGACAACAGCCGGAGAATGAAGTA